GGGGATCCCAAATCCAGCCCAGGGAATTCCCACAGTGGATCCCAAATCCAGCCCAGGGAATTCCCGAGGGGATCCCAAATCCAGCCCAGGGAATTCCCGAGGGGATCCCAAATCCAGTGCAGGGAATTCCCACAGTGGATCCCAAATCCAGCCCAGGGAATTCCCGAGGGGATCCCAAATCCAGCCCAGAGGGGATCCTCAATTTGGGGTCACCAAACCCCAAGGGATCTCCAAATCCATCTCGGGGGATTCCCAAGGGAATTCCCAATTCCTCACCTGTCCCCACCCCCACTTTTCCAGGTGTGGCCATGGAGGAGCACTCCCCCTTTGCCCAGGTGATCCCTCACCTGTCCGAGGAGGAGGAGGAGGAGCAGCCAGGTGAGGAGGAAGAAGGGACAGGTGAGGAGGAGGAGGGGCCAGGTGAGGAAGGAACAGGTGAAGAACCAGGTGAGGAGGAGGATCCAGGTGAGGAGGAAGATCCAGGTGATGATGAAGACCCAGGTGACGAAGATGCGGGTGAAGATCCAGGTGATGAATGAAGACCCAGGTGATGATGAAGACCCAGGTGACGAAGATGCAGGTGAAGATCCAGGTGATGATGACGATGATGATGACGATGACGATGAAGAAGACCCAGGTGACGAAGAGCAGCGCCACCAGCCAGGTGCGTCCTCTCCAGGTGACCCCTCCACCTCCCACCTCCGCCGGCCCCGCCTTTACCTGCGGCCACGCCCACCCCCGGCTGAGCCCGGCCCCTCCCACCTGCAGCCGCCCTGGGCCCACCCAGGTGCGCCGGGGCTCGAGGCCGCCTCACCTGAGCCAGGTGAGGCCACGCCGGGCTTCGTGCAGCTCATCGACGAGCGCGGCGTCTACTCCACCGCCAAGCTGGTGCTGGGCGGCCGCTCGGGCGCGCCAGGTGCGCCAGGTGAGGATGAGGAGGAGGAGCAAACCCCGCCGGGCGAGGAGGAGGATGAGGAAGAGGAGGAGGAAGAGCTGCCTGCTCACCTGGAGATCCGCCAGGTGATCGTGGCCGAGAAGCCCTTCCAGTGCCCCGTGTGCCACAAAGCTTTCAAGCGCACCTGGGAGCTGCTGAGCCACCAGGTGGTGCACACGGAGGCGCGGCCCTACACCTGCCACCTGTGCCGCGCCACCTTCAAGCGCCACTCGGACTTCAAGAGCCACGGGCTGGTGCACACGGAGGAGCGGCCGCACAGGTGCGACCTGTGCGGGAAGCGCTTCAAGCGCTCCTCCAACCTGCAGGAGCACCGCCGCATCCACAGCGGCGAGCGCCCCTTCGCCTGCCCCAGGTGCGCCAAAGGCTTCAAAACGCCCTACGAGCGCCAGCGCCACGCCCTGACGCACCTGGCGGCCGACAAGCCCTTCAGGTGCGGCGACTGCGGCAAGGATTTCCCGGCGGCCAACGCGCTGCTGCTGCACCGGCGGCACAGGTGCCAGGACAAGCCGCACACCTGCGGGGTCTGCGGCAAGCGCTTCACCTACGGCCACTCGCTGAAGGTGCACGAGCGCGTGCACACGGGCGACCGCCCCTTCAGGTGCGCGCTCTGCGGCAAGGCCTTCAAGCAGAGCAACGCGCTGGCCTCGCACGAGCGCGTGCACACGGGCGAGCGCCCCTTCGCCTGCCGCACCTGCGGCAAGGCCTTCAAGCAGTCGTCCTACCTGGCCATCCACCAGCGGGCGCACACGGGCGAGCGGCCGTACGGCTGCGAGGCGTGCGGGAAGGCCTTCGCCCGGCCCTCGCTGCTGCTGCAGCACCGGCGCGTGCACAGCCAGGCCTCAGAAAAATGGGTTTTGGATCCCAAAAACTGCAGCAGCAACACCTGGACAGCGACACCTGAGCCCCAGGTGAGGGGAGTCCAGATCTGTGAGCCAGGACAGGTGTGGACTCAGAAAAAATGGTTTTGGACCCCAGAAAGGTGCAGCAGCAACACCTGGACTGCCACACCTGAGCCTCAGGTGTGGGAGCCCCAGAACTGCATGCCAGGACAGGTGTGGACCCCAAAAACTGCATCAGCAACACCTGGACAGTGACACCTGAGCCCCAGGTGTGGGAACCCTGAATCCGCACACCTGGCCAGGTGCGGGAACCTGGAGCTGTGACTCAGGACAGGTGTATGGGCCCGGAACTGCACACCAGGACAGGTGTGGGAATCCTAGAACTGCACACCTGGACAGGTGTGGACCCCAAAAAGCTGCAGCAGCAACACTTGGACAGCGACACCTGAGCTGCAAGTGAAGGGATCCCGGCCAGGTGTGGACCCCAAACTGCAGCACCTGGACAGCGACACCTGAGCCGCAGGTGAGGGGCCCCAGCACGGCCTCACCTGAGCTGTGACATCACCGACAGCGGACAAGGAACTGAGGCACCCCCAGGACTCACCTGCGGCCAGGTGTGAACCCAGCACTGTGAGGCTCACCTGGGCGCTCACCTGTGCACTCACCTGAGCCCAGGATGGCTCGTGTGGGTTTTGGGGAGCTCCAGGTGCACCTGGGAGTGGGCGAGGCACACCTGGATGGGGCAGGGGCACACCTGGATGGGGCAGGGCACACCTGGATGGGGCGGGGCACACCTGGATGGGGCGGGGCCTTCCCAGGGCCTGGATTTTCCCTCTTGGACAATGGGACAGGGACTCACCTGGGCACACCTGAGCTAATCTGGGGAACACCTGGGGCTCACCTGAGCCCACCTGGGCACACCTGTCCCACCTTTCCGGGCTGTACCTGTAGCGGTGGGGGCGGGGCTCACGTCGATAATTCATTAAAGGATCGTTAATTAATGACATCATCGCTGGTCTCACCTGGAGCTTCAGGGGCGGAGTCACCAGGCAGGTGTGGGTGGGGGGAGGGGGAGAGCCCCAAAATTCACACCTGGGGGGGTTGGGACTCCCAAAATTCACACCTGGGGGGGGGGGGAACACCTGAGATTCACACCTGTCACACCTGGGGGGCAGGGAACACCTGAGATTCACACCTGGGATGTTTGGGATTCCCAAATTCACACCTGGGGGGGGTGGGGACACCTGAGATTCACACCTGTCACACCTGGGGGCGTGGGAACCTCCCAAAATTCACACCTGGATGGGAACACATTCACACCTGGAGGGTTGGGAACACCTGAGATCCACACCTGTCACACCTGGGGGGGGTGGGGACACCTGAAATTCACACCTGTCACACCTGGGGGGGACGGGGAACCCCAAAATTCACACCTGGGGGCTCCAGACGCCATTTTTAATTTATTCACCTGCCCAGGTGTGCGGGGACACCTGAGCCCACAGGGGCTGCCGAAGGGGGGGAGGGGCCAGGTGAGAGCGGCCAGGTGAGAACGGCCAGGTGAGAACAGACAGGTGAGAACAGACAGGTGAGAATGGCCAGGTGAGTTCAGGTGAGGATTCCAGGTGAGAATGGCCAGGTGAGAACAGACAGGTGAAGCAGCCAGGTGAGGTTCAGGTGAGAGATTCCAGGTGAGAGCAGCCAGGTGACGTTCAGGTGAGGATGCCAGGTGTGGATGCCAGGTGAGAATGGCAATGTGGGGTTCAGGTGAGAGGTCCCAGGTGAGAGTTTGCAGGTGAGGTTCAGGTGAGATTCCACGTGAGGATTCCAGGTGAGAGATTCAGGTAAGAGATTCCAGCTGAGAGCAGCCAGGTGAAGATTCCAGGTGACGTTCAGGTGAGAGGTCCCAGGTGAGGATTCCAGGTAAGATTTGAGTGAGAGATTCCAGGTGAGAGGGGCCAGGGGAGATTTGAGTGAGAGATTCCAGGTGAGAGGGGCCAGGGGAGATTTGAGTGAGAGATTCCAGGTGAGAGGGGCCAGGGGAGATTTGAGTGAGAGATTCCAGGTGAGAGGGGCCAGGGGAGATTTGAGTGAGAGATTCCAGGTGAGAGGGGCCAGGGGAGATTTGAGTGAGAGATTCCAGGTGAGAGGGGCCAGGGGAGATTTGAGTGAGAGATTCCAGGTGAGAGGGGCCAGGGGAGATTTGAGTGAGAGATTCCAGGTGAGGGCGGCCAGGTGAGGCTCCAGGTGAGAGGTTCAGGTGAGGGTTTGCAGGTGAGGATTCCAGGTGGGAGGGGCCAGGTGAGATTTGAGTGAGACATTCCAGGTAAGAGCAGCCAGGTGAGGTTCAGGTGAGGTTCAGGTAACAGATTCCAGGTGAGGTTCAGGTGAGGATCAGGTAAGAGATTCCAGGTGAGGATTCCAGGTGAAGTTCAGGTAAGAGATTCCAGGTGAGAGCAGCCAGGTGAGAGGTTCCAGGTGGCAGGTGAGCCCCACCAGGTGAGTTCCAGGTGAGCTCCAGGCCCCAGGTGAGCCCCGCCAGGTGAGCTCAGGGCGCGTCATCCACCAGCTGCAGCGCCTCGGCCTCGCCAGGTGAGGCCCTCCTGGGCAGGTAAATGGCGCCGGGGGCCCTCGGGGCGTCCAGGTGAGCTGGGGAAACACCTGGCGTCACCTGGGCTCACCTGGGGCCGCCTGGGGGGCAGGGCAGGGGCGGGACTCACCTGGGACACACCTGGCCCGTAAGGTGAGCCAGAGCAGGGCCCCGCCCAGTGACATCAGCAGCACCAGCAGCGCCACCAGGTACGTGCAGGTGGGGGCCGCACCTGGGGGCAGGTGAGGGGTGGGGGGGGTCATCACACCTGTCCTACCTGCCACACCCTCACACCTGTCCTGGCTCTTCTCACCTGTCCTGGTTTAACCTGTCCCACCTTTCTCACCTGTCCTGGCTCCTCCCTTCTCACCTGTCCCACCTTTACCTGTCCCACCTGTCCTGGTTTAACCCTTCTCACCTGTCTCACCTGACCTTCACTGGGATTCCTTCCGCACACCTGGGGCTCACCTGGGCCCCTCCCCCACAAGAGTCCTGCACCTGGGGCCCCTCCCCAACTCCTGTCCCTTACCCTTAGCCCCTCCCCCACACCTGGGGCTCACCTGGGCCCCTCCCCCACACCTGTCCCGCACCTGGGGCCCCTCCCCCTCTGGGCTTCAGCCGCACCTGGGCGGGCTCGGCACCTGCGGGGGACGGGCGAGGGCGAGGCACGGCTGGGGGCACCTGGGCACACCTGAGAGCACCTGGGCACACCTGGGTGCCTCACCCTGTCTGCATTACCTGAGCCCCCAGTGCTCACCTGGGCACACCTGAGCCCCCCCAAGGACATACCTGTCCCCTCACCTGTCCCCAGGTGCTCACCTGAGCCCTCCCAGCCCTCACCTGTCCAGGTGCTCACCCTGCCCTCCAGGTGCTCACCTGTCCTCTCACCTGTCCCCCAGGTGCTCACCTGTCCAGAATCTCACCTGTCCCCTGACCCCCAGGTGCTCACCTGCACCCCTCCAGCCCTCACCTGTCCCAGGTGAGCTGCACACACCGCCCCTCACCTGTTCCCCCCAGGTGCTCACCTGTCCTTAGGTGCTCACCTGAGCCCTCCCAGCCCTCACCTGTTCCCCCCAGGTGCTCACTCTGCCCTCCAGGTGCTCACCTGTCCTTTCACCTGTCCCCCAGGTGCTCACCTGTCCAGAATCTCACCTGTCCCCTGACCCCCAGGTGCTCACCTGAGCCCTCCCAGCCCTCACCTGCACTGGTGCTCACCTGTGCACAGCACCCCTCACCTGTCCAGGTTCTCACCTGTCCCTTCACCTGTCCCCCAGGTGCTCACCTGTCCCCTCACCTGTCCCCCTGGTGCTCACCTGCGCACACCACCCCCGCGTCCTCGCCGTGCTCGCAGTCGTGCTCCCCCCAGGGCCGCCGCTCGCACCTGTCCAAGGTGAGCTCCTCACCTGTGCAGCGCACCTGGTCCAGCCACACCGGGCCCCGCCCCTGCCCGAAGCGCGCCGCGCCCGGGGCGCTCAGGGCGGGGCCGCAGCGCACCTGGCGGCAGGTGACCCGCGCGGCCGCCAGGTCCCAGGTGTCGTCGCACACCGTGCCCCACCTGCCCGCGTGGAACACCTCGACGCGCCCCGCGCACCTGTGCGGGCCCCCGGCCAGGCGCACCTGGCCCTCCTCGGGCTCACCTGGGCACCGACGGCACGGCTCAGCTCACCTGGGCGTGCCAGGGCTCACCTGGGCACCAGGGCTCACCTGGGCACTCCAGGGGCTCACCTGGGCACCAGGGCTCACCTGGGCGTGCCAGGGCTCACCTGGGCACCAGGGCTCACCTGGGCGTACCCTGGGCTCACCTGGGCACTCAGGGATCACCTGGGCACCAGGGCTCACCTGGGCACCAGGGATCACCTGGGCACTCAGGGCTCACCTGGGCACCAGGGCTCACCTGGGGGTGTCAGGGCTCACCCCTCTGGGCTTTCCCCCACACCTGGGGCTCACCTGGGCCCCTCCCCCACACCTGAAGCCCCCCACATACCTGGAGCCCCTCCCCCACACCTTTGCTCTACCTTTGGCTCCTCCCCCACCCCTGGGGCTCACCTGCAGCCCCTCCCTCCCTCCTTCAGCTCCCCCACCTGTCCCTTATCCTTAGCCCCTCCCCCACACCTGTCCCGTGCCTTTGGCTCCTCCCCCACACCTGGGGCTCACCTGGAGCCCCTCCCCCACACCTGGAATAATCCTTGGGCCCCTCCCCCCCGCCTTTAGCCCCTCCCCCGCGCTCACCTGCGGGCGTGGCACACTGCACCTGCGCCGCCCCACCCGCGCAGGTGCGCGGCCCCGCCCCCTCGCGCAGGCACTCCCGCAGCTGCGTCTCGGAGCCGTCGCAGGTGAGGCCGCCCAGGTGAGGCCCCTGGCCGGGCAGGTGCGGCCCCACAGGTGCGCTGAGGGCGGGGCCGCAGCCCAGCTGCCGGCACAGCACCTGCGCCTCGGGCAGCGCCCAGGTGAGGCCGCACACCTGCAGCCAGGTGCGGTTCAGCAGCACCTGCACCTGCCCCGCGCAGGGCCCGGCCCCGCCCTGCAGCCGCACCTGGGCGGGCTCGGCACCTGCGGGGGACGGGCGAGGGTGAGGCACGGCTGGGGGCACCTGGGCACACCTGAGAGCACCTGGGCACACCTGGGTGCCTCACCCTGTCTGCATTACCTGAGCCCCCAGTGCTCACCTGGGCACACCTGAGCCCCCCCAAGGACATACCTGTCCCCTCACCTGTCCCCAGGTGCTCACCTGAGCCCTCCCAGCCCTCACCTGTTCCCCCCAGGTGCTCACCCTGCCCTCCAGGTGCTCACCTGTCCTCTCACCTGTCCCCCAGGTGCTCACCTGTCCAGAATCTCACCTGTCCCCTGACCCCCAGGTGCTCACCTGCACCCCTCCAGCCCTCACCTGTCCCAGGTGAGCTGCACACACCGCCCCTCACCTGTTCCCCCCAGGTGCTCACCTGTCCTTAGGTGCTCACCTGAGCCCTCCCAGCCCTCACCTGTTCCCCCCAGGTGCTCACTCTGCCCTCCAGGTGCTCACCTGTCCTTTCACCTGTCCCCCAGGTGCTCACCTGTCCAGAATCTCACCTGTCCCCTGACCCCCAGGTGCTCACCTGAGCCCTCCCAGCCCTCACCTGCACGGGTGCTCACCTATGCACAGCACCCCCCACCTGTCCAGGTTCTCACCTGTCCCTTCACCTGTCCCCCAGGTGCTCACCTGTCCCCTCACCTGTCCAGGTTCTCACCTGTCCCTTCACCTGTCCCCCAGGTGCTCACCTGTCCCCTCACTTGTCCAGGTTCTCACCTGTCCCTTGACCTGTCCCCCAGGTGCTCACCTGTCCCCTCACCTGTCCCCCTGGTGCTCACCTGCGCACACCACCCCCGCGTCCTCGCCGTGCTCGCAGTCGTGCTCCCCCCAGGGCCGCCGCTCGCACCTGTCCAAGGTGAGCTCCTCACCTGTGCAGCGCACCTGGTCCAGCCACACCGGGCCCCGCCCCTGCCCGAAGCGCGCCGCGCCCGGGGCGCTCAGGTGAGGGTGTGGGGGTGGGGCTGCAGGGGAAGGGGGACAGGTGAGTTGAGGGACAGGTGAGGGATGGACAGGTGAGGGGTGGAGAAGGACAGGTGAGGGCAGGTAATGGACACCTCCCAGCACACCTGTGCCCCACCCCTCACCTGTGCGCACCTGTCCCTGATTATCTGCACACAACTGCTCATGCCTGTTCTCACCTGTGCGCACCTGTCTGGAGCCCCTCCCTGTCCACACCTGTTCTCACCTGGTCGTGCTCACCTGAGAACACCTGTCTGTACCTGTTCTCACCTGTCTGTACCTGTGCACACCTGTCTGTGCTCACTTGTCTGTACCTGTTTACACTCACTGTCCGTTCCTGCCCTCACCTGTCCGTACCTGCCCTCCTCATCTGTCCGTCCCTGCCCTCACCTGTCCGTACCTGCCCTCCTCATCTGTCCGTCCCTGCCCTCACCTGTCCGTACCTGCCCTCCTCATCTGTCCGTCCCTGCCCTCACCTGTCCGTACCTGCCCTCCTCATCTGTCCGTCCCTGCCCTCACCTGTCCGTACCTGCCCTCCTCATCTGTCCGTCCCTGCCCTCACCTGTCCGTACCTGCTCTCACCTGTCCGTCCCCATGCTCACCTGTCCGTACCCGCCCTCACCTGTCCGTACCTGCCCTCACCTGTCAGTCCCTGCCCTCACCTGTCCGTCCCTGCCCTCACCTGTCGGTCCCTGCCCTCACCTGTCAGTCCCTGCCCTCACCTGTCCGTCCCTGCCCTCACCTGTCCGTACCTGTTCTCACCTGTCTGTACCTGCCCTCACCTGTCCACCCCAGCCCTCACCTGTCCGTCCCTGTGCTCACCTGTCCGTACCCGCTCTCACCTGTCCATCCCTGCCCTCACCTGTCCGTCCCTGCCGTGCTCACCTGTCCGCCCTGCCCCTCACCTGTCCATCCCTGCCCTCACCTGTCGGTCCCTGCCGTGCTCACCTGCGCACTCCGCCGCCGCGTCCCGGCCGTGCTCGCAGGTGTTGCTGCCCCACGGGGGGGCGGGGCACTGCCCCAGGTGCCGCTCGCTGCCCGCGCAGGTGAGCTCGCTCAGCCACACCTGGCCGGAGCCCCGCCCGTACCGTGCCCCGCCCCGCGCCGCCAGCGCCCGCCCGCAGCCCAGCTGGCGGCAGACTACCTGTGGGCAGGTAACACACCTGGGTGAGAGATGGGCACACCTGGGGCAGGTAACACACCTGGTGAAGTTAAACATACACACCTGGGGCAGGTAACACACCTGGGGCAGATAACACATCCGGGTGAGAGATGGGCACACCTGGGCAGGTAACACACACACCTGGGGCAGGTAAACACACACACCTGGGGCAGGTAAACACACATACCGGGGGCAGGGAACACACCTGGTGGAGTTAAACACACACACCTGGGGCAGGTAACACACCTGGTGGAGTTAAACACACACACCTGGGGCAGGTAACACACCTGGTGGAGTTAAACACACGCACCTGGGGCAGGTAACACACCTGGGGAAGGTAACACACCTGGTGGAGTTAAACACACGCACCTGGGGCAGGTAACACACCTGGGGAAGGTAACACACCTGGGAGAGTTACACACACACCTGGGGCAGGTAAACACACCTGGGTGAGCCCAAACACACCTGAGGGAGCCCAGGGATACACCTGAGCTCACCTGTCTCCCCCCCATGCTCGCCTGCCCCCCCCGTGCTCACCTGTCCCCCCCGTGCTCACCTGGGCGTCGCGCAGGTCCCAGCCGCGGTCGCACACCGTGCCCCAGCGCCCCTCGTGCAGCACCTCCACCCGACCTGCGCACAGGTGCGGCCCGGCCACCAGACGCACCTGACCTGAGCTGGAGTTACCTGCGGGGACGGACAGGTGAGAGCCAGCGCCAGGTGAGGCTCACCTGAACAGGTGAGACCGGCCTTAGAGGAGCTCCCACCTCACCTGTGTGTGGCACACCTGCGCACACCTGTCCTCACCTGTGCACACCTGTCCTGCACACCTGTCTCACCTGCACACACCTGTCCTCACCTGTGCACACCTGTCCACACCTGCGCACACCTGTGCACGCCTGTCTCACCTGTGTACACGTGTCTCACCTGTCCATGCTCACCTGTCTCACCTGCCCGTACTGCCCGTGCCTCACCTGAGCACACCTGTCTCACCTGTCCATGTCTCACCTGCGCACACCTGTCCGTGTCTCACCTGTCTCACCTGTCTCACCTGCCTGTGCCTCACCTGCGCACACCTGCACACACCTGTCTCACCTGTGCACACCTGTCCATCTCACCTGTCTCACCGGCCCGTGCCTCACCTGCGCACACCTGTCCCTCTCACCTGTCTCACCGGCCCGTGCCTCACCTGCGCACACCTGTCCCTCTCACCTGTCTCACCGGCCCGTGCCTCACCTGCGCACACCTGTCCCTCTCACCTGTCTCACCGGCCCGTGCCTCACCTGCGCACACCTGTCCCTCTCACCTGTCTCACCGGCCCGTGCCTCACCTGCGCACACCTGTCTGTCTCACCTGTCTCACCTGCCAGTGCCTCACCTGTGCACACCTGTCTCACGTGTCCGTGTCTCACCTGTCCTGCTCACCTGTCCATCTCACCTGTGCACACCTATCTGTCTCACCTGCGCACACCTGCCCGTGTCTCACCTGTCTCACCTGCGCACACCTGTCTCACCTGTCTCACCTGTCCATGTCTCACCTGCGCACACCTGTCCATCTCACCTGTCTCACCTGCCCGTGCCTCACCTGCGCACACCTGTCTCACCTGCGCACACCTGTCCATCTCACCTGTCTCACCTGCCCGTGTCTCACCTGCGCACACCTGTGTGCCTCACCTGCGCACACCTGTCCATCTCACCTGTCTCACCTGCCCGTGCCTCACCTGCGCACACCTGTCTCACCTGCGCACACCTGTCCATCTCACCTGTCTCACCTGCCCGTGCCTCACCTGCGCACACCTGTGTGCCTCACCTGCGCACACCACGCCCGCGTCCTCGCCGTGGTGGCAGTTGTGCTCCCCCCAGCTGCGGTGCGCGCACCTGAAGAAGTCCGGCTCCTCCCCGCTGCAGTTGACGTCATCGAGCCAGATGAGCCCCTCCCCCTGGCCGTACCTGGCCCCGCCCGGCGCCTCCAGGGCGGGGCCGCAGCCCAGGTGAGCGCAGAGCACCCGCGCCTCGCGCAGCCCCCAGGTGTCGTCGCAGACCGTGCCCCACAGGTGAGCGTGCCACACCTCCACGCGCCCCGCGCACCTGTCCGGCGCACCTGAGAGGCGCACCTGGGGCGGGGCCGGCAGCGCCGATTCTGCGGGGCAGGGGAGGGGAGGGGAGGGGTCACCTGGGCACAGGTGTGGGGCAGGTGAGGGGTCAGGGTCACCTGGGCACAGGTGTGGGGCAGGTGAGGGGTCAGGGTCACCTGGGCACAGGTGTGGGGCAGGTGAGGGGACAGTGGGAGGGGTCAGGGTTACCTGGGCACAGGTGAGGGGTCAGGGTTACCTGGGCAGAGGTGTGGGGCAGGTGAGGGGTCAGGGTTACCTGGGGACAGGTGTGGGGCAGGGACTGGTGATCCCCAGGTATGGGACAGGTGAGGGGGCTGGGTTACCTGAGGGTCACCTGGGGATCACCTGAGCACAGGTGTGGGACAGGTGAGGGTCAGGGGGAGGAGTTACCTGGGGCAGGTGAGGTGTGAGGGGCACCTGGGGGTCACCTGGGGCAGGTGTGGGGCAGGAATGGGACAGGATCAGGTGTGCCCAGGTGTGGCCTTCCCTCCCCCTCCCCCATCCCCTCCATCCCCCCATAATCCAGGTGTGCTCACCTGAGCTCACCTGTCTCACCTGTCCCACCCGTGCCCTCACCTGAGCACGCGGCGCCGGCGTCCTCTCCGTGGTTACAGTTGTGCTTCCCCCAGGTGTACCCGCGGCACTCGGCCAGGTGAGCCTCGGAGCCGGCGCACCTGAACCCGTCCAGCCAGATGGGCCCCGCCCCCTCCCCGAAGTGCGCCTTACCTGGCGCCCAGAGGGCGGGGCCGCAGCGCACCTGGCGGCAGGTGACCCGCGCGGCCGCCAGGTCCCAGGTGTCGTCGCACACCGTGCCCCACCTGCCCGCGTGGAACACCTCGACGCGCCCCGCGCACCTGTGCGGGCCCCCGGCCAGGCGCACCTGGCCCTCCTCGGGCTCACCTGGGCACCGACGGCACGGCTCAGCTCACCTGGGCGTGCCAGGGCTCACCTGGGCACTCCAGGAGCTCACCTGGGCACTCAGGGCTCACCTGAGGGTTCCGGGGTCGCACCTGAGGGCGGCAGGGCTGCACCTGGAACACGGAACACCGCCAGGTGAGCTCACTTGGGCAGGGCCACGCCCACCTCAGCCAGGTGTGGGCGTGGCTTAGCAGCCCCAGCTCACCTGGGGCTCACCTGGGGACACCTGTGGCTCACCTGGGGGTGCCGGGGTCGTACCTGGGTGAGGCAGGGACGCACCTGGAACACAAATGAAAGGCAGGTGAGCTCACCTGGGCGCTCCAGAGCTCACCTGAGGTGCCAGGGGCTCACCTGGGGGGGTCAGGGCCTCACCTGAGGGTGCCGTGGTCACACCTGAGAGTGTCAGGGCCTCACCTGGGGGCGCTGGGGCCTCACCTGAAACACACGGGGGGGGGGAGCTGGGCAGGTGTGCTCACCTGGCTGGTGTTCCAGGTGTGCCCAGGTGTGCCCAGGTGTGTCTGTGGATATCCCCAGGTGCCCCCCTAGGTGTGTGCCCAGGTGTGCCCAGGTGTGTCTGGGGATATCCCCAGGTGCCCCCAGGTATTCCCAGGTGCCCCCAGGTGTGTCATGGGATATCCCCGGGTGCCCCCAGGTGTGCCCAGGTGTGCCCCCCAGCCCTCACCTGCCCGCCCCCTCCCCTTGCCTCACCTGGCTGCGCGCAGGTGACGGCGGCGTGCGGGCAGTAGGGGGCGCCCCACAGCCTCACCTGGCACTCCAGCAGGCTGCCCTCGCCGCCCTCGCACCTGAGCGACTCAACCCAGGTGAGCTCCTCCCTCGGCACGCTCACCTGGGCGGCGCTGAGGGCGGGGCCGCAGCCCAGGTAGCGACAGGTGACCTGAGCCGCGGGCAGCGCCCAGGTGAGGCCGCAGACCCCGCCCCAGCGCCCCTCGTGCAGCACCTGGAGGCGCCCGGCACACCTGTGTGGGCCCCCGGCCAGGCGCAGGTGAGCCAGGTCAGCCAGGCCCGAACCTGTCGGGCAGGTGGGGCAGGTGAGACAGGTGGGGCAGGTGAGGGGGTTTGGCCACAGCCCACCTGTCCTAGGCGCAGGTGAGCCAGGTCAGCCAGGCCCGAACCTGTCGGGCAGGTGGGGCAGGTGAGACAGGTGGGACAGGTGAGACAGGTGGGGCAGGTGAGACAGGTGGGACAGGTGAGGGGTTTTGGCCACAGCCCACCTGTCCCCACCTGTCCTCACCTGTCCCCACCCCTCACCAGTTCTCACCTGTCTCACCTGCTCTCACCTTTTGCCACCCCTCACCTGTTCTTGTCCCTCACCTGTTCTTGTCCCTCACCTGTCCCTCACCTGTAACCACCCCCCACCTGCCCTCACCTGCACACACCTGTCCCTCATCTGTCTCACCTGTCCCACCCTCACCTGTGCACACGACTCCAGTGTCCTTGCTGTGCTCACAGGTGTGCACTGCCCACCCCTCACCTGTCACACCTGTCCCACCTGTCCCTCACCTGTCACCCCTGTCACACCTGTCCCCCCTGTCCCTCACCTGTCACCCCTGTCACACCTGTCCCCCCTGTCCCTCACCTGTCACCCCTGTCACACCTGTCCCCCCTGTCCCTCACCTGTCACCCCTGTCACACCTGTCCCCCCTGTCCCTCACCTGTCACCCCTGTCACACCTGTCCCCCCTGTCCCTCACCTGTCACCCCTGTCACACCTGTCCCCCCTGTCCCTCACCTGTCACCCCTGTCACACCTGTCGCTCCCCTGCGCCCACCACGCTGGCGTCCTCGCTGTGCTCACAGGTGTGCCCTGCCCCCCCCCCCCCTGTCCCACCTGTCACACCTGTCGCTCACCTGCGCACACCACGCTGGCGTCCTCGCTGTGCTCGCAGGTGTGCACTCCCCACCCCTTGTGGCGGCACTCGGAGGGCGCGGCCTCCTCACCTGTGCAGGTGAGCCCGTCCAGCCACACCTGGCCGTGGCCGGGCCCGAAGTGCGCGCGGGGCGGGGCCGCGATCACCTGCCCGCAGCCCAGGTACCTGCAGACCACGGCGGCCGCGGGGAACGCCCAGGTGTCGTCGCACACCGTGCCCCACCTGCCCAGGTGCAGCACCTCCACCCGGCCCGCGCACGCACCCGGCCCGTCCGCCAGGCGCACCTGGAGGGGCGTGGCCAGCGCCCAACCTGTGGCAGGTGAGGGGACAGGTGAGGGGACAGGTGAGGGGGGGACAGGTGAGGGGACAGGTGGGGGGACAGGTGAGGGGACAGGTGAGAGCTGGGCAGGGGAGAGGATTGGGGAGGGACAGGTGAGGGGACAGGTGAGAGCTGGGCAGGTGAGGGGACAGGTGGGGGGCAGGTGAGATCTGGGCAGATGAGGGAGGGCTCAGGTGAGGGGAGGAGCTCAGGTAAGTCCGGGCAGGTGAGATGTGGACAGGTGAGGGTGGAGCTCAGGTGAGGTTGGACAGGTGAGAGGATGGGGGGGCTCAGGTGAGAGCTGGGCAGGTGAGGGTGGGGGGTGGGGCTCAGGTGAGGGGGGACAGGTGAGGAAAAGGGGGGCAGGGGCAGGTGGGGGAGGGGGGTTACAGGTGTGGCGTGGCCAGGTGAAGCTCTCAGACCCACCTGAGCACACCTGGGCCACCTGCCCACACAGGTGAGGATGACGTCACACCCACCTGAGCCCCCCCCAAAGGTGAGGATGACGTCACACCCCCACACACAGGTGATGATGACGTCACAACTCCCCCAAACACTCCCACACCTGTACCTGCCCAGGTGAGGATGACGTCACACCCACCTGAGCACGTCACGTTGGCCACGCCCCCCTGGGCACAGGTGCTCTCCCGCCAGGGCCCCGCCCTGCACTGCCTCAGGTCTCTCTCGGTGCCTTTGCAGCTCACCTGCTCCAGCCACACCTGGCCAGGTGCGCCCCCAGGTGCGCCCCCAGGTGCGGCCAGGGGGGTCCCGCAGCCCAGGTACCTGCAGACCACCTGAGCCTCGCGCGGGCCCCAGGTGTGCCCACAGACCCCGGCCCACCTGCCCAGGTGCAGCAGCTCCACCCTGCCAGCACAGCGGTGCCCGCCCCCAGCCAGGCGCAGGTGAGGCGGCTCCGGCTCCAGCGAATCTGCAACACCTGAGCTGCTCAGGACAGGTGACACCCAGGTACCCGCAGGTAACCCCCGGAGACCCACAGGTAAACCCAGGTAACCCCCACGTACCCACAGGTACACACAGGTAACCCCCAGAGACCCACAGGTAAACCCAGGAAACCTCTAGAGACCCACAGGTACCCACAGGTAAACCCAGGTACCACCAGGTGTCTCCCAGGTGCCCCCCAGGTGCCCACCCAGGTACCCACAGGTGCCCAGAGGTGCCCCCAGGTAAACCCAGGTACCCACAGGTAAACTCAGGTAACCCCCAGGTGCCCCCCAGGTGCGCACCCAGGGCCAGGTGGCTGCCCCCAGGTGCCCCCAGGTGCCCCCTCAGGTACCCATAGGTGTCCCCCAGGTAAACCCAGGTAAATCCAGGTACCCAGAGGTGCCCCCCAGGTACCCACAGGTAAACCTGGGTACCACCAGGTGTCTCCCAGGTACTCCCAGGTAGCCAGAGGTGCCCCCAGGTAACCCCAGGTACCACCAGGTGCCCCCAGAGACCCACAGGTACCCACCCAGGTACCACCAGGTGCCCCCAGGTGATCCCCAGGTAACCCCTGCACACCTGTCCGTACCCACAAACCTGTCCCACCCATCCCACCTGTCTCACCTGTCCCACCCGCCCCTCACCTGCACACACGGCGCCGGCGTCCTCTCCGTGGTAGCAGTCGCTGCGCCCCCAGGTGTGCCCGGGGCACTCGGCCAGGTGAGCCTCGGAGCCGGCGCACCTGAGCCCGTCCAGCCAGATCGGGCCTGAGCCGCGCCCGAACTGCGCCTTACCTGGCGCCCAGAGGGCGGGGCCGCAGCGCACCTGGCGGCAGGTGACCCGCGCGGCCGCCAGGTCCCAGGTGTCGTCGCACACCGTGCCCCACCTGCCCGCGTGGAACACCTCGACACGCCCCGCGCACCTGTGCGGGCCCCCGGCCAGGCGCACCTGGCCCTCCTCGGGCTCACCTGGGCACCGACGGCACAAAGGAGGAGAAAAGTTGGGGGAAATAGAAATAGAAAAAAGTTGGAAAAATTGGGGGAAAAAGTGAGAAAAAATTGGGGGAAAATGGGAAAAATGAGGGAAAAATTGGAGAAAATGTGGGGAAAAGGAGGAGAAAAATTGGGAAAAATGGGGGGAAATGGGGAAAAGGAGGAGAAAAATGGGAAAAATTGGGAAAGAATTGGGGGGAAAATGGGGGAGAAATGGGAAAAATTGGGGAAAATGGGGGAAAAGGGAAGGGAAAGAAAAAAATTCAGGAAAAACGTGGGGAAAATGGGGAGAAAAATTAGGAAAAATAAAAGAAAATTGGGAAAAAAGGAGGGGAAAATTAGGAGAAAAAATGGGAAATTGGGGAAAAATGGGGGAAGGAAAGAGAGAAATTGGGAAAAAGGAGGAGAAAAATTGGGAAAAATCGGAAGAATTTGGGGAAATCGGGAAAATTTGGGGGGAAAAGGGGAAAGTGGGGGAGGGGAATTGGGGAATTTTGGGAAACTGGGGATTCGGGAGGCAGGAGGGGCCAAAGGTCGCGTGGCGGCCCCAAAATCGCGGAATTTGCCCCCAAAAATCGATCGGACCCAAGGGCGGAGGGGGGGCGGAATTGCAGGGAAAAAATGGGTGGGAAAAGGGAAATTCCCGGAATTTGGGGAGGGGGAGGGGAATGGGGGAAAAATGGGAATTTGGGGGGAAAAAAGGGGAATTTGGGGGAAAAAAGGGGAATTTTGGGATAAAATCCCTTGGGTTTCGTGGGGGATAGAATTCCTGAATTTTGGGGTGAAAGTCCTCGATTTTGGGGGAAATCCCCAAATTTTTTCGGGATAAAATCCCCGAATTTTGAGATAAAATTCCTGAATTCTTTTGGATAAAATCCTTCAAATTTTTGGGATAGAATCCTGGAATTTCGGCCCCAAATCACTGAATTTTTTGGGGTTAAACCCTCCAAATTTGGGATAAAATCGCTGAATTTTTGGGGATGAAATTCCTGAAGTTTTGAGATAAAATCCCCAAATTTTTGGGATTGAATCCCCAAATTTTTTTAGACTCAAACGCCCAAATTTTGGCCCCAAATCCCAGAATTTTTTAGGATAAATCCCCCGATTTTTAGCAGAAATTTCCCGAATTTTGGCTCCAAATACCTGATTCTTTTTTTATAAAAATCTCTGAATTTTGGGATAAATCCCCTCCCCCCCCCCCATTTTGGGATAAAATCCCCCAATTTTTTGGGATCAAATCCCCCAATTTTGTCCCAAAATCCTGAATTATTTTGGGATCAAATCCCCCAATTTTGTCCCAAAATCCTGAATTATTTTGGGATCAAATCCCCCAATTTTGGCCCCAAATTGTGAATATTTTGGGGGATAAAATTCCTGAATTTTTTCATAAAATCCCCGAATTTTTGGGATAAAAATCCCCGAAATTTTTAGGCTCAAATCCCCTAATTTTGGCCCCAAATCCCAGAAATTTTTGGGATAAAATCCCCGCATTTTAGCAGAAATTTTCCTGAATTTTAGCCTCAAATCCCTGAATTTTTTGGGATTAAATCCCCCAAATTTGGGATAAAATCGCCGAATTTTTGGGGATAAAATCCCCCAATTTGGGGGCTCAGCCCCCCCTCCCCTCCCCCGCGGTGACGTCACTCACCGGCCAGGTGCAGCAGCCCCAGGAGGCCCCAGGTGAGCGCGAGCCCCGCCCGGGCGCACCTGGCGGGACCCGGAGCCGCCATGGCACAGGTGAGCCCGGAGAGCCCCGCCCCCACAGCGGGATGGCCCCGCCCCCAGACCGGAACCCCGCCCCCACAGCGGGATGGCCCCGCCCCCAGAGCGGGACCCCGCCCCCAGAGCGGGACCCCGCCCCCCCACCGGGACGGCCACGCCCCCATGGCCCAGCCCTCCCCGCTGCGCCCGGGCGGAGCCGGGGTGACCCCGAGGTGACCCCGCCCTCCCCCCGCGGTGACCCCGCGGTGACCCCGGGGAGGGGCGGGGGGAGGGGCGCGGTTGCGTCAGAGCCGCTGCGGGAAAGCGGGAACGGAACCGGGACACCTGGGACAGGTGAGGGACACCTGGGGGACATGGGACAGGTGAGAGACACCTGGGGGACATGGGGACACCTGGGACAGGTGAGGGACACCTGGGGGGACATGGGACAGGTGAGGGACACCTGGGGACACCTGGGACAGGTGAGGGACACCTGGGGGGACATGGGACAGTGAGGGACACCTGGGGGACACCTGGGACAGGTGAGAGACACCTGGGGGACATGGGGACACACCTGGGACAGGTGAGGGACACCTGGGGGACACCTGGGACAGGTGAGGGACACCTGGGGACACCTGAGACAGGTGAGGGACACCTTGGGGGACATGGGGACACCTGGGACAGGTGAGGGACACCTGGAGACACCCAGGACTCCTGGGGGGAATCCTGGAATCACCTGGAGTCACCTGGGGCACCTCAGGGGGGGGACACACCCGGGGGGACACCTGGGACAGCTGGGGGGACATGGGGACACACCTGAGGGACACCTGGGGAGCACCTGGGCGTGGGGACACACCTGAGGAGTGGGGCGGGGGGACACCTGGGGATGGACACCTGGCTCAGGTGTGTGCCGGGACCTTAAACCACGGGGGACCCTCACCTGGCCCCTCCCCCTCACCCTGCCCCTCACCCGGCCCCTC